AGACTCCGTATCCTCACCAGAAACAACATCATCGACAAATACGTCATGCAATAATACGGGAGACGCGAGCCTAAAATGCTCGGCCTCATCGTGAGCGAGTTGCTGAATTATACGCAAAGCGAGATATGGTGAGGAATTTACACCGAATGTGACCGTGCGGAGACAGTAATCCTGTATAGGTTCTTCCGGCGATTTACGCCATAAGATGCGCTGGAAATCCCTATCAGTTTCACGAATCAGTATATTTCGATACATTTGTTTAATATCCGCAGTAAACGCTACGGCATGAACACGAAACTTTAAAAGTACGTCTACTATATCAAGGTGAAGCTTGGGACCCGTTAGAAGAACGTCATTAAGCGACAAACCACTCGCCGTTCTACAACCCGCATCGAACACTACGCGTGTGCGAGTTGTTTCGCTCGATTCTTTAACTACACAGTGGTGTGGAATATAATAGCTGGCTCCTTGCAAAGGCTCACTATTAACGAGCTCCATATGATTCAGGTCCTTATACTCCTGGAGGCACGTGTGATAATCAGTTTTCAGCTGCACATTGCGTTCCAATGTATCCTCTAATTTTCGAAAACGAGCCAATGCAATTTGGCGTGATTCACCGAGGCGCGATGCATTGGGCTTGAATGGCAGGGCGACGACGTACCGTCCTGTCTCGTCCCGTGTATGCGTCTTTTGGAAAAAGGATTCGCATAGCTCCTCGTCTAGAGTGTAAGTACGTTTCTCAGAAAATGATTCCAGCTCCCAAAACCTTTGAAGACTGACGTTGTCAAACGAGCTAAAACATACTTGGAGTGGAGTCGAAATGATTGTATCGAACGTTATTTTACCTAATAATAAATAACCTAACACGCTCTTCATCACAATTGGTGACCCCGGAGGTCCAGTAATCATGTTGCCTAATAAGATGTGGGATAGTATATCCGTACACTACCGGTTGGGGTGTGTGAAATTCAGGGTCAGCTAAGTTTAAATTTTTTAAATGTGACCACCCTGTAAAGGGCAGAGGTACACTGGGCATTTTTGTGACTAATTTTGGCAAAATTAATGCATCCACGGGTACAATGGGCTGCTGTTTACCCTTTGGCACAATCACACATAAAACTATACCTTTAGGTCGCACAGGATCGCTATCGCCTATGCCAAAAACCGGAATATTTATATGTTTACGCGCTAAACCTAAACGTTGTACGCAAGAATCTGTGATAAAGGACGCCTGGTTACCCGTGTCTCAATACATCGAACGGTTGATACCTTTGATTCACCTACGCAAATATCAACGAGCGCTGTAGATAATAGGACTGTATTAATACGAACTAAAGGCGCATTGGACGCGCAATTATTATGTACCGCGCTGCTGTCGGAAGGTAAGGTAAAAGGTGATTCAGCCGTGATAACATTCATTCGCACTTTCGTAGGCGGGATCTGTATAGCACTATCTGCCGCCGCCGTTTCGCTAATGACCGATAACGATTGCGTTGAAAAATGAATTAATGTATGATGTCGTTTATAACACGAACGGCAAACGAAATTTGATTTACAATTCTGAACGGCGTGTCCAACATGTAAGCAATTAAAACAGATATTTTTATTTTGCACGAATGAATATCTATCTTGTGGAGGAATATTTAGAAACTGTGAACATTTAGTTAATATATGTTGACCGTTGCAATGTAAACAAGTTCTAACCTTATTACCATTACTTTTAAATCGAGCCTGCTCTATGGGTACATTAAGGTTAGTAATGAAAGAGCGTCGCGCCGTAGGCACCGTACCGTCGCTTGCGTTGTTGCTCTGGCCCGAGAATTTTACTGAACTACCCACATTCGCCGATGGTTTCTTAGCGGAATGTACGTTTGCAATAGTAGAAATAGTTATTTCGCCAGCGGAAATTTCCCGTTCGAGGAAAGAAATTAACGCGCATACGTCTGGAATTTCGGATGGCTTACTCAATGAACGTTCAAATGTTCTTCTAATTGTGAGCGGAATCTTACGCAACAAAATATTTAATAGTATAAAACTCCATTGAGTTATTGGAAAATTCATAACTTCAAGCGACTTTATATTCTCTTGATATATATTTAGTAAATTTTGTACACTATGACTTAACCTATCGGAACAAGGTTCAATATCTACAATTTTGTCAAGGAGTTTCGATGCAATATTTCTTTTACTATCATAACGCGACACTAGTGTAGTGTTTTTCGTGGTAGAGCCATGCTGCAGCTATATTATATTTGTAGCACGAGTGGGTCGGCTCGACCGGGGAAGGACCACGCTCTCTCAGAATACCAGCGTAAAATAGCAGTTTAACGCTGCTGTGTTTCGTATGGTGAGTGTAGAGAACCGGAGACCCTTTTTACTGGAAACGAGGCATTCCATCTTAGTCCTCACGGGCGACAACGCATCTGCATTTTGATTCTGAATCGAAGATAGATGTAGATGTCTATGGGCCACAGCAACCACTTACCATCAGGTGGTCTGTGTGCTCGTTTGTCACCCTTATCTTATAAAAAAAAAACTAAAATATCTAAGGCTACAAAGTAATTTTCGTCGGTGATAGGAATAGATTTAATAAGATTATGTGGCTCGTTTTTAACTGCAAGTAGTAAATATCTAAACTTTTCCGCATTACAGTAAGCGCTGTTGTTATGTACTAGCGAACGAAATAAGTCATAAAACGACGGCCAATCAGTTGGATCGCCGTTAAATTCTGGTAATGGCAATAGGTAGGTTTTTTCTGTTTGCTTGCACTATGAACTCGGATGCTTGAAATGACCGACTCGTGCGGCGCAGCTGGTCCTCCTTTTTTAAATTGTTTAAATGAGTAACATTAGTATAATATAAATCGTTAAAATCATTGCTAACTTTAATCTGCTCCTCTTTATTAAATGATTTTATTTTAATGAGCGTTTTTTCAATCTTTCTTTGAACTTTATTGATTTTTTTTGCGAGCAGCTAAATCAATAGTTCGCGAACGAAAATGTTGTTCATTTGTTGTTGCGAGCTGAATAATACGATTAAGCTCATCAAGAATTAAATCTCTTTCGAAAATATCTTGTTCATACGGCGATTCGTCGTCCGACATTTTGACAAAATGGCGGATTAGAATTTTACCACGTAAAAGAAATGAGTACGTAATACTGCAATACTTTTGTTTACAAGACAACACAAACTGGAAGATATTAATTCGGATGGAATGATCAAAATGTTTAATCCGGATCGAATGACCAAAAATGTTTATGTACGATATTCTACTGGGTTTAGCGACTTACCGCTACAATCTCCCTGCAACCACGAATCCAGGGACTGGCTAAAGGAGCTCGGGGCAGTCGTTGCAATGATAGTAGTATCAAAGTTCAGCAGAGTGTATCGCACAAGAGTCCATAGGTTACACGTACAACACTTCCAGGTGAAAGAGATCTTGAGAGATGAGCTTGAGTAACACGAAATTATTTGATGCGCGCGCGTCGGCGGTTTTGATTAGACTGTTCACAATTGCCGCCAATCGATGTGGCGCTTGTGTCACACAGAGAAACATAACCCGCAAGATTATGGATGCATTCAGAATGAAAACAGTTGATCGCTAACCCAATGAATTTAATAGAAATATAGAAAAATAATATCTTTGAAATTGTGTTGCCTTGTACTTGTTATGATATACGAAAAAAAGGAAACCAAAAACATAATATATTAATAATCTGTTCCAGTACGGAACAGTGGTATTATACTATTCCGTCAAGTCGCTGCCAATTAAGGAATTTTCCGCGCAGTTTAACCGCCTTTCTTCGTGTTTTACGACATTCTATCCGTCCTAATCCAAATAATATTACACTACGCAGATAATCATATATTACATATTTTTGTTATTTTTATTTCCATATTTTTATAATAGAGGGCAGAGTAGACATATTCCGAGGCCCTTTCTTTAATAAAAAAAAAAGTCGTAGTAAAGTTTAGTGTCAGATTCTTAAATGTTATATCGTTATACCCTTATGTAAAGTTTTGCTTTAAGGTTATAATAATATTATTTTTGTATTATTTACCATTATTTTATTGAAATATTGATGCATACTATCTTTTTTTTTGAGTTCTTAGCAAAATACGATCTTTTCCAGCTTATGGTACGATCTCCTAAAAAATAAAGCTCTATCTACTACATTTTTTTTTGGAGTTTATGGCCTGGTATCTAGACCTTTAGGCCAAGTCTTAAGTATTTTTATTCGGTTTATTGTAATTTCCCCACTCCTTCATAGTATACTGCTTCACAATATGTTGATGCGTCACATTGTGCAGTTCTTGGGAGATTTTGGCGGCAACTTGATCCAGCAGACAGCTGATAGTTGGCGATGGTATCTAAAGGTGCCTATGCAAACAAACAGCTTATCTTGAGAATCCATCACCATCAGAGCACTTGTTTCACTGTTTCCACTAATAGTTCACATGCGTAGACACTTAATACACAAAATCGCAAAATTTTTCATATCAAAGTCCACTTCAAACCATTATTTAAACAATAATACAGGAGCAGCAAACCGCCGCCGGTCAATTTCCCGCCAAAACTCCTATCTACTACATACATTATATTCAGTGTTGTCAACAACCCTGTTGACAACACTGAATATAATGTATGTAGTAGATATATATATTACTATACTCTTTGGTAGTAGTTTGTGGAAGTCTGTGAGTAGTGATTATATTCTCTTTGGTCTGTGATACTGATAGTAACCACAAACTATATAGAAACACGCGTAGTGTTTCTATATAGTTTGTGATAGAGACTAGGGATGGGCAAATGAAAAAAATATTTCGATATATATCGTATCGGCATTTTAATATAGTATCGATATATATCGACAGAAAAATATCGATATATCGACATGTTTTGCATAATCTTTCATACATAATATATATTCCCAAAACATTCAATATTCGGAAAAAAATACACACATGAAGAAAATAGTATATTTTTATTAGAAAGTAATTTAATCAAACCAATATTCATCCGAAATTGACATTAGTAGCACTCTCTGTTTGACGTGCTCTCCTGTCAAGCGGCTTCTGTTGTCGGGTACAGTTATATTCACAGCTGATGCAACTCTTTCAGAAGAGACCGAAGAAGCCTGGCAAATTAAGTATTTAAGGGCAACTTCTGAAAGAACTGGCGTAAAATGTTGGCAATTTGTCCAAAATTTTATTGAATCAGCCTTTCTCTCAAGGAGAGGTTGATCAAGATATTGCTTGAGTTCATTGGGCACAGAGCCAGAGCTCGGGACCTCGGGCACGATTGTTGATTGGGATAATAATTTTTCATGCCCAGACCAAATTGAACTCTCAGTTTTTTCTTGCGCTTTATCTATTTGGATCGTTCTAAGATCAGGGGAAAGTTGACCCCTGCGACGGTGTTCGCTGCGAATATCATTACTAATTTTGGTTATGGCATGTGAAACCGCAATTGGTGAATTGAAATGAATTTTTTTAAAACGCGGATCTAATATTGTTTCTGCGGACAAATATGAATTTTCTTGTAAAGGTACCAGTCTTTCTTGAACTTTTTTGAGAAGAGCCTCTTTAACAATTAGCCCCAAACTTGTAGATGGACTTATAGTTTCCACTGCTTGGCGAATCAAATTTGTAACCGGAATGGCTAAACTGGAAGTCACATAATTACCCCCACTTATTTCTTCCGTGGCTTCTTTGAATGGGCCTAAAATAGCCACAATATCTCGTATAATATTTAATTGAGAAGTTGCGACCATGTCGGGGGTATTTCGGCTTGTCTGACTTTTAGTAGCTAAAATTTTAGCTACTAGTGCAGAAAGAGTGATAAATCTTTTTAACATGTCAAAGCACGAGTTCCATCTTGTGGTGATGGCTTGTGTTAATGTCAACACCTCCCCTTCTTGCATTCCAGATACTTCTTGTTCAGAGCGTAATTGATCCATAGCATTTACAGATTGTTTAAAATATGTCACAATGCTCTTTACGTGATCGCAAAGAGCTGAAAATGCGTGATTTTCTTTTAACACCCCATCAACAATAAGATTTAAACAATGTGCCATACACGAAATTCTGCGATCGTTCCCTAAAAACAATCGCACTGCCGCCCCTATATTTGCACCCCCATCAGTTGTAATGGCCACGATTTTATTTTTGTCTATACGAAATTCTTCACAAATTTCTTCCCAGCATTCTTTTACGTACTGTCCTGAATGAGCCTAAAAAAAAGAAAATATTGTATATATTTTTTTAATGTGAGAATCAATTAAGATCTAGTTATTAAATTATATCAATTAAAATAATTAAAAGGTCTGGATAATTGATAAATTACAAAGTACTTCAAAAACACACCTGAGTCAGTCTCTGCGCACATAAGCTTACATTTTGAAGGATAGGCGATCCCTTAACGTTGTCAATAAAATGAACTGTTAATACTAAGAAGCTCCTTGTAGAATTAGTGAGAGTAAGTATATCACTTGTAAAACATAAAAAATTTTGCTCAGTCAAGGATTTCATAAGAAATGCTTTTGTGCTATTATATCGATTTTCTATCATATGAGTTACCTGGAAATTACAAAAAAAACCAGTTACACTACTGTGATATAATTTTTTTAATTATAAACAAGAATGGTAATTTTTAATATAAATACCTTTTTTCTGGAAGGCAGTTTATAAAGAGGGCATGCTGTGCGCATAAGTTTTTGCAAGCCTTTTTTTTCAACACATGATAATGGCAAATTGTCCTTACATATCATGTAAATCAGTGTCTGTGTTATTTCACTATGTTTTTAACTATAAAAAAATTACTTGCATATTAACACATTGTCATTTAAAAAAAAAACAAAAAAAAAAAACTCCTTACATTAAATTTTGCTGTAACATACCTGCGAAGCTTGAGCCTCTCTCTAAACAAGCTACTAAGGTGCTTTGCTTTCTTTTTTTAGCTTAATGATAAACCATCTCAGCAGGATTGACTGTGACATCTTCTTGACTTTGCTGGGAATTTTTATAACCAGTACTAGTGGATGGCAAACTAAGCTGAAAATACAGAAAAAGTAAACAACAAAGTTAATACAAAAAAGTTAATTCGATTCAGTCTATTATTATTAGAGACAACTCGTTTAGTTTTTTTTTTATTGTTATTATATTAAATAGTCAAAGATTTTAGGTTATATACTTTAGAATATATTAATATTTGATAATCTTACATTAACAGTAGATACATTGGAGTTATTCAAGTCCACTGCCGCAGCGTCTCCAGTTTCTTCACTAGATTTAGTTGTTTGCAATGAACTGGGCATTTTCATCATTTGCAAATAAGCAAAATGATGCCTATTTTTTAAATGAGTGGCCAAATTGGTTGTATTACCGCACGTTTTATACGACTTGCCGCACAAATTACAAGAAGCTGAATCATTGTTGTTGTCTTCTTTTTTGAAAAACTTCCACACAGAAGACATGATTGATAAGATTCGAAGTTCGAAGCTTACCGAAGTATTTTTAGTTTTAGTTTATTTTTAACTTTAAACTTTTAAGTTTTCCGTAGAAAATACCGTTACTGTCTTACTGTGTACACCATAAACACAAACAGTAATTTCTATTTACTAATTTTTGAATTCGTAACAGTGAGACCATAAACAAAACGAAAAGCAAAAGACAAAAGAATGCTTCTGTTTGGTCTATGGTTTTGCTGCGATATTCGATTTGATGAAGATTGTAACGAGATTTTTTTTAAATAAACGAAACAAGAATTGCGTTAAAATATATCGAAATTGATACGATTTCGATACTCTAAAATAAATATCGGAACGACGATATATCGCGATTAAAAATATCGGCGATATATATCGATTATTTTTAGAAAAAATATCGATATTTCGATATATCGATATTTTTTACCCAAGCCTAAGAAACACTACGCGTCTGTCTGTAATAGTAATTGCCTGTCGTATTGCATTTTGATATTTTTGAAAACTCCGGTTTATTGATGAAAAAGTGAATTCAATTTTATTAAAGCTATAGAAAACAGGAATGGCCTTCAGTGAAGTTTGTAGAATTTGTTTATGCGTTAATGTTCGCATGCTTGTACTAAAGAAGACTAGTCTCCGAAATTTGTACAAAACATTGACGAACAGTTTTGTAAGTTTGTTAATATTTCTTAATATTGTAAATTGAAGTTGCGGTAATTTGTTGTCTTCGCCGGAGAAATACATTATACCTTGCCTGATATAAAATGCGATAGATCGGGGCTGCTGTGGATGCGAATGAAAGTGTTATTAAATGAATTAGCCCAAGGCTGCTGTGGATGCGAATGAAAGTGGGCTTAAAGAAGTTGTTTGTGCTAGGGGTGTACGCCCCAGATATGTCTAAGCCCACTTATATCCGAGAGCAGTTTTGGGACATGGTAAGGCTGGTGTTGATGAAATGTAAGGAAAATGAAAATATTATTATGTTAGGAGATTTTAATGGAAGGGTTGGGGTGAAGAGGTCTGGTTATGAAAGGATATTAGGAACGTTTGGCGATGAAAGAATAAATGAGAATGGTGAAGACCTCCTCACCGTATGTGTGGAGAAGAATCTTTTTGTGGCGAACACTTTCTTTCGCCATAAGAGGATTCACATGTATACATGGGAAAGAGGGGATGATAGAAGCATGATAGATTTTATAATTGTGGATGAAAGAATGAGGAGCGCAGTGGTAGATACAAGGGTTTACCGGGGGTCCAACGTAGGGACGGATCATTACTTGGTCTTATGCCGAATTAATGGTCTATTCAGACGTTGGCGGCATCGGACATCGGTGTCTACCACTGCGTTACAGCGTATAAGAATAGAGAGGTTACAAGATGAAGGTGTGAAAGAGAAGTATAAATGCAGATTGAGGGAAAATATAAGTGGGTTGAATGAATTATGTATGAATGATTTAGAATTGAAGAATGTATGGAATAATATTAAGAAAGTTTTGGTGGATGCGGCCACCGAAGTATGCGGTGTAAGTAAGAGAACGAATGAAAGGAAAAGTAATACGTTATGGTGGGATGATGAGGTACGGATGGAAGTTGAAGCAAAGAAGAGAGCATGGCTAGATTTACTAGCAACTAAAGCTGGTAATTCTGGCGGTATGAATGATGAGATTGAAAGAAAAAAGGCAGACTTTAGACGTATAAATAAGAGAGTAAAAGAAGTTGTTGAAAGGAAAAAGCAAGAAATGATAGATAAGAATGATAGAAGGATATCTGATAACTTCCAGGCAAATATTAAAATGTTCTGGAAGCTCGTAAGAACTGCCAGGGGAAATTCAAAACAGCCTAGAATAAATGCTATACGAGACGAGAATGGCTGCATGCTGAATGATGAAGTTTCGAATTTAAAGAGATGGAAGGAATACTTTGAAAGCGTGTTTAAGAGTGAAGAGTCGTCTGGAATAAGTGAAATAGAAATTCCGGAAGAAGTGGAGAGAGGTAGGGAGATAAGTGTAGATGAAATAATGAAAGCAATGAAAAGCATGAAAGCAGGTAAGGCAGCCGGATATGATAGAAATTCCCTCGAAATGCTGAGGGCTGGTGAGGGTGTGGTTACAGGCCTGCTGCACACCTTGTTTAATTTATGTTAGGAACTGAAACGGGTACCGGAAGACTGGTGCAAAGCCGTTATAGTCCCAATATATAAGGGAAAGGGGTCGCAGCAGGACTGTAAAAACTACCGTGGTATCAGCTTGCTTAGCATTGTGGGTAAACTGTATGCTAAGGTGTTAATTGAAAGAGTTATGGAAGAAACTGATGGAAAAATTTGGGATGTGCAAGCTGGATTTAGAAAGGGGATGGGGTGTACGGATCAAGTCTTTTCCATGCGCATGATAGCGGAGAAGTTTTTGGCTAAAAACCAGAAAGTTTTTTGTGCGTTCATGGACTTGGAAAAGGCTTATGACAGAGTGGACAGGAATGTGTTATGGCAAACACTGAACTCATTTGGGTTGAGCGCTGGCTTGATACAGGCATTAAGATCTCTTTATAGGGACTCTAGTGCTTGTGTCAGGATCAACGGGGTCTACTCGGACTGGTTTGGCATTCATAAAGGTGTCAGACAGGGATGTGTGGCTTCCCCGTGGCTGTTTAACTTATTTATGGACAGTTGTTTGCAAACTTTGAAAGTTGAAGAATGTGGGTTGAGAATGGGTGAGTCAACCGTCAAATGCCTTTTATACGCCGATGATCAAGTCATATTTGCATCGTCGGCGGCCGAGTTGCAAATGATGGTTACTTTAATGAATTGGTCATTGAAAGAAAGGGGTATGAAAGTGAACGCAAGTAAGACGAAAGTGATGGTTTTTGAAAGAGAAGAAAGTAAAACTTTATGTGAAATAAGAATAGAAGGGGAGTTGATTGAGCAAGTGGATGAGTTTGTATATTTGGGATGTTTATTTAGCAGGGATGGTAGATATGATAAGGATATAGAACGACGAGTGAACGCAGGAAATAGAGTGAATGGGGCTCTACACGCTATTATGAGGAGTCAGAATGTGTCAACTAAGGCACGTATGGCAATTCATAATGCTGTGTTAGTCCCTACTTTAATGTATGGTAGTGAAAGTTGGGTCTGGCAGAAGAATCATGAGAGTAGAATAAATGCTGTAGAAATGCGTTCCTTAAGGAGTATGCTAGGGCTAAATCTGAATGACAGGGTGAGAAATAGTCTGATAAGAGAAAAGTGTGGTTTGCAAGATGATGTTGTGACAAGGATTAAGAAAGGAATGCTTCGGTGGTTTGGTCATGTAGAAAGAATGAACGAGGAAAGAGTGACAAAGCAAATTTATGTTGCGGAAGTGAACGGCAGGGTCGGGAAGGGACGCCCTAGACGAAGGTTTATCGACCAAATCGGCGATACATTAAAAATGGGCCAGATTAGGAGTACCCTTAACCGACGAGCGTGTATGCGTAGATATATGGATGTAAAAGAGGCAAGAGAGGTGTGTCAGGATCGCGCCAAATGGAAATCCGTAGTCTCTGCCTACCCCTCTGGGTGACAGGCGTGAGTGTTTATGTTTATGTTTAGATCGGGGCTAGGCTAAGGTGCAGCGTTAAATATAGTGCAACCAGAACCTTAAAATCAACAATTAGCCTTAAATCCTACTACATACTAGTCTTCTCGTATGTAGTAAGTAGGACTTAGTTGTTTGCAACACTCGTTAGAACCAGCGGGCTTAGCTGTTTCTTCCACACGACTTGCACTGCTGCATAGAATTTTTCGCGGTGTCTGTTCTAGTATATATTATGTCAAGAAATTAACATCCACCCTGGTTTGGTCTTCCACTCACTAAAAACCATTCTATCAGACTTAAAGTGAGAGATTAGAGTGCACATGTACTTACAGACACAAAAATTCCCTCACTCTCATATTTCTTGTATTCCTAAAGACACAAGTCTGAGAAGGGAATAATGTGCACATGTGCTTGCTTACACACACATGCAATATAATCCTGCCCTGTAATAGACTCTATTGTGATCGAAATTCTGTCCATAGGAAATTATTATTGTCATGCTGCTGCTATATATCTATGTGTCACAGGTGGGTCGGCTGTACTGGGGTGGTACCATGGACTAAACAGAATACCATTGTAAAATAGCAGCTTAATTCTGCTCTGATGTGTATGGTGAGTGTAGAGAACCAGACATACTTTGTACTTAGGCAAGGTGTTCCGTAGTGGTCCTCATAGGTGACAGCATATCTGCATTTTGATTCTTAATTGGGGATTAATTGTAGATGTGTATGGGCTCACTTACCATCAGGTGGTATTCTACTAGTAAGATTAGGATGAAGAGAATTGTGGTAGCCAACTGATTTTATTACAAACTGGTACGACTTTCCATTTACTCCCATCGAGTTGGGGGTTGATACGTATTTTTACAGAAAAGTTACACTATTATAAGCACACACACAAAGTTACAATATGTGGAAGCGCGTAATTTTTGAGAAAAAATTTATTGAAAATCAATTATTCTTACATTGTTTATGTCTAATCCTACAATAAAACTGACGCCATTTTTTTATTGTCATTGTCAGTAGGGATGTCGATTCTTTCCGAAAAATATCGATTTTTTAAATAGATATGTAAGCTGATGTATCGATTCCCAAAAAATCGATTTCTAAAATATCTATATTTTTTTGATGTTTGCATTTATAATGTAAATATAAATCCATTTTATGAGAAAAAAGTCCCCTTCATCATAAAATACAGGGGGACTGATTCAGAAGGATTTCTGTATCTATTTTGAAACTGCTACGTCTCCGGCGCTGCGGGAAGAGCAGCCTTAGCGTAACAATTCGCAGGCATCCCTCCTCGCCTCCGCAACTTCGGCTTGTTGGTCGCCTTCGGCGACCAGCCTCAGCCTCTCTGGCTGCTCCCCCTACGCGCCTCCGGCTCTATAAAACCACTCTAGGGGTAGGACAGACTCGTACCAGGTGGAGTCGGGGTCAATCAATTCGGTTCTTTGACATAAGTTGAACCTAACCTATTTTATTTGTTATCTGCCGTAATTGGTACTGTTGAAATAAAACAAATTTCAATAAGAGATCATTTATTATGGTATCTTTCTTGTTTTTCATAAAATGGAATTATATTTACATTATAAATGCAAACATAAAAAAAAATAGATATTTTAGAAATCGATTTTTTTATGAATCGATACATCAGCTTACGATATGAATCGATTCAAAAATCGACCTTTTTCGGAAAGAATCGACATCCCTACTGACGACAATGACATTACAAAATGGCGTCTATTTTATGGTAGAATTAGATATAAACAATGCAAGAATAATTGATTTTTCAATAACTTTTTTCTCAAAAATTATGCGCTTCCGCATATTGTAACTTTGTGTGTGTGCTTATAATAGTGTAACTTTTCTGTAAAAATATGTATCAACCGCCTACTCGATGGGAGTAAATGGAAAGCTAAGCCTACAAACTTGTACATTTAAGTAGTTTTCCATATTTATGATGAGCTTTCATATTTTCAGATGGATGAGGATGAGGAGCCAATAATTGTTTGTTTCACCTGTCATGCAAGACTCATTCGTTGCAGAACATTACAACACCAGGCTATTGAGTCAAAAGCAGTTCTGGAGCAGTTGCTTGCAGGAGGGTCCATGGTATTATCCGTTCCATCCATTATAACTTAAAAGTCCCTCATAGATTGCTTCATATAGGAGGGGTTTTGCCCAATTTGCCATGTTCGGCAGGTTGGCAACTGCAGTTTATATTGGTCTGGGTCGTTATCAGGAAGATGCTGTTACCCAACTCCTATTTCTGTTTCCCTATGTTGCATCTTACGGGGATCAAACCCGGGTTGCTCGCATACTATGAAGCTTACATCGAGCGCTAACCATCTGAGCTATCACGGCTCTTTATACTCTATTGTATATAAAGGAAATATTATCTATATGTAATATTACTCACTAAACAAAAATCAACAAAGATCTTTGTCAATTTACAGCATTTGTGAATCTGTTTCAAAAAATTGTTTAGACTTGATGCTCGGGATGGATGAACTATCTTCATTCTTTATTTATTTAATTTTATTTGGAACCTTTTGTCTGGATTTTATTAACCCTTAATTACTCGCGTGGGGTATATTTAACCCCACGGCGTATTTGAAGCGTCGTATCTCCGCCATTTTTAAAGTTACCTCCATGCCGTTCTTAGTAGCTGCCTAAATACCTCCCCCCGCCGCGAATCAGTCACGAGCGCCGCTCCGTGTCGTGTGGTTGTGTCAGGAGATCGTGTCTGGGGTATATATTGCCCCACGCGAGTATTCGTGCAACTTTTTTTGGACAAGTGAGTATTTTTATTTTTATTTTTTAATGTGCAGTACAGATACTAAATGGTTAGGTTTTTTTACTTATCTTTGTTTTCTGTTCTTTTTTAGGTTATAACACCTAAAATGGCAAGTAAGCGTCTTTCTAACTACCAGATTCTTGAGTGTATATTAGAAGACGACGAAGAAAGCATCATAGATAGTCCCGATGAAGATGAGGGAGACGATGAAGTGATCCAGAGTGACCACAACTCAGAATCTGAAGAAAGTGCCAATGAAACCGAGTTAGAATGGAGTGATGACGATAATGAACCGCTGAGTAGACACGCAAGTAAAGATTCTGATAGCTTTTATTTATCAAAAAAGAAATGCACAAAGTGGGCAAAAGAGCCGCCGCGTACTAGCGTTCGAGTTCGTAGACACAATATTATGAGGGAAACACCAGGACCTAAGGGAGCAGCCAAGGAGATACATACAATGTCAGAAGCATTCTTTTGTATGTTTTCAATGGATACTGTCAATTTAGTACTGCAACAGACCAACGATTACATAAAATCGATACAAGGAAAATTTCAACGCGAACGTGATTGCAAATTCCTAGAATACGAAGAACTTTTGGCTTACCTAGGTTTGCTTTACATGTCTGGTGTGCTGCGTTCATCTCACTTGAACTTCAAAGATCTGTGGGCTACCGATGGAACAGGCATCGAGTTTTTTCAAAACACAATGTCATTCAACAGATTTCTTTTTATATCAAGATGTGTTCGTTTTGATGACAAAAATACTAGATCTGAAAGGCAAAAGACAGACAAACTAGCAGCAGTCAGAGAGTTCACTGATTTGATGAATAATAATTTCATCAATAATTACTCTGCATCTGAAAATGTCACCCTAGATGAACAATTACCTGCCTTTCGAGGAAGATTTTCTGGTGTTGTTTATATGCCCAACAAACCCACGAAGTACGGCATAAAGCATTATGCACTCGTAGACTCGGCAACATTTTATTTACTGAAATTTGAAATTTATGCTGGAGTACAACCTGAGGGTCCATATCGAATGCCTAATGATACAGTAAGTTTGGTAAAGCGCATGACAGAACCCATCTGGGGTACTGGTCGAAACGTTACGATGGACAACTGGTTCACTAGCGTCCCTCTTACAAATACGCTTCTAAAAGATCACCAGCTTACTATGGTTGGAACTATTCGCAAGAATAAGCCGGAAATTCCAACTTGCTTCCAGCCCAAACGAACACGAGCTGAGCATTCCAGTCTGTTTGGTTTCCAAGAAGACGTAACACTTTGCTCTTACGTTCCAAAAAAATCTAAAGCTGTACTGCTGATTTCGTCAATGCATCATGACAATAAAATAGTTGAAAGTGAAAAGAAGAAACCGGAAATTATTTTGTACTACAATCGCACGAAAGGTGGCGTAGATACCAACGACCAAATGTGTGCTAACTATTACGTCGGCAGACGTACAAAGAGATGGCCTATGGTTATATTTTATCACCTTCTCAACGTTGCTGGTATCAATGCATATGTCATTTATAAAAATAAAATTGACCACGGAATATCAAGAAGGGAGTTTTTGAAGCATCTTGCAGTTGATTTGGTAAAGGCTCGCCAACAAACTCGAGCAACTATACCACAACTGCCTAGGGCCGTACAAAAACGGCTAAAAAGAAATGCTCAAGTTCAGGATCCTAGCCCCACTTCCAGAGGTGGTCCATCGACAACTTATAAAAGGTGCCATATCTGTCCAAGGTCGAAGGATAAAAAAATAAGATTTATGTGTGCCAAATGCCACCAGCAAGTTTGTCACGACCATTCCACTATGATATGTGATAAATGTATTGATTAAAAAGTTCCTAAATTTAAAGTTTCATATCTTTAAAAGTTTTTAAGGATACTATTACAATTTAGAACAATGTTGCCTCTTTCAAATTTTTATAATAAAAAAAAAGTATGTCATTAAAAATATGTCATTAAAAATATGTTTTATTGTACCTTTACAATTGGGGTTATATATTCCCCACGCGAGCGTAAGTGTAACTATATGGACGCGAGTAATTAAGGGTTAATATTTGGAGTTATTGTCAGGAAGATGCTGTTACCCGTTTCCTGTTTCAGTTTCCCTCTGTCCCTTTTTACGACATCTGCGGGATGGTATGGTAGTATTGATTCTCCTACGACACCACTACACTGGCTTTTTCTCTTATTTAACAAAAGAATTTGGTTTCAGTCAGTAACAAATCATCATGAGGCTAGAGATAAGATTCAATTCACACCAATTAGTCATATAGATATCAGGCCAGTAGAGTGTGATGTAGAAAATAATTGTAAGGACGAAATATTTAGCCTTGAATCTATTAAAGTTGAGGAAGAGAATTTCGAAAATGAGAATTCTACATTTGAAGAAAGTGGGAATAATGAAATAGGTAAGATATACACATTTTGTGATATTATTAAAATAAGGTACAATTTACCGAATCGCAAGTAGTTACTGTAGCTCATGGACACAAAATAAAGAGGGTTTCATGTGCAATGTACTGATTTACAGATTTGCTTTTGCCTAAATTCAAAGTGCATGTTAAAAGCACTCTCATAGAGAAAGAAAATTACAAATTAAATAATTATTTAAGAGATAGGCATGTATGGACATCATAATTAAAAAAAAAAAACAAAATGTTTTAAAATGCTCGGAAAAAAGTAAAAAGTCACGGAAAAATTTAAATCGGTAACTGTATGGAATTATTAAGCCTCGTACACAATAACTAACTGTTACGGCCTACGACTGCTCCATTAAGGGTCAAATCCTCTGGGGCCCATCCAGCAGAAGACTTCACGAGCAGATGTAGGTCGGGCCTCAATATGGCCACGTGGAATATGTTCTCACAATAAACTATATGGGAGGAAGCTAGAAACACATAGTACTTACCATTATCCGAAGCTAACTTCGCACCAAGGCTTGGGCAGGCCGTGAGTGTGTGTAGTAGTGGATGGCGAGTAGTGTACAGTGAGGTGTAAATGTCTACGACCTGAGCAAGCTTAGGCGACCAGCAGCGGCCGAGTTCCAGACTGCCCCAAAATGCTGCATCGCTCCAGCAGGCTTCAGCGCCGGACCACTTCTTTCTTCACTGTCACTACTCAGTCTCTCAGCTTCATCGTACATTTAACTAACTTCAATTCGCCTGATTCCATACTCATCACAGAATCGAACACGTGATATCCGACACGGCAAGGACAGTAGCACAAAAATCGACATTGAATGTCCCGGATTCCCTTATCACAAATTATAAATTCGGCACCAGAATAACATGTCGCGCCAGAGTCAAAATACGCCTCGTTGACACGCAAATTAATCTAACTAGGCAACCAAAACACAAAAGGGGCACTAAACGCGCCGACACAATTATAATGATATCTTGACAATTAACCGGGAGAAGCTCTCAACTAGGAATGCGCGGCTCGAATCCTAGACCGTATATCTACTAGACGCGCGTACACTATTCCGCCCTCTCGCCCGAGTTAAATATCGCACAATTCACATATCTACGTGACGAAGAAGCATTTACTTCATCTAGCTATCTAGATCCACGACGGATCATGAATTTTCTGCCTGACGGTCTCCACGCCTCGTGGCTGGCGAGGCACCGACGTTTTGCCCACGCGTCGAGTTACCGACTCGGCGAGCGAGCGAGTGCCCACTCGTCGAGCTCGGTCGCCCCACCTCGGCGCTTATCTCACCTACATACCATCGGGTGAGGCGCCAGCTTGAACGCAATTGAAAAAAATTCAACGTAAATTTGCTCGATGGATATATAAGAAACAGTACGGATACTATCCCTACTTATACCCTTCCTTATTCGTGTCTGGTATGGTGGACATTGAAACGTTGAAACTTAGAAGGGCAATGTCTCAAGTCATGCAATATCTGTCCATAATTCATAATAGGATTGATAGTCCCCAAATACTAGAGCGTGTCCGCATCTTGGTCCCTGGGAACGTCGCAGGGACAGGTGGCACCGCGGCGCCGCCCGCGACTGCTGGAGCCCCCCCCCTCCCCCCGCGCACGTACCGAGCGCGCTCGTCAAGCGCCCACCAACCGCGCACTCCGCATTATTGGGGACATACTTGCACAGCACAACAAGCTAGACTTATTTGCCGATGGATTAGGACATTTGTATAAAGAAATTCAAATAATTTTAAATAAATTCTAGCCATCAAACTTACGTATATTGTTTTCATAATTAATTATAATAATTGCTGGTTGCGTATTGTTTTTCTTTTTTTTTATTATTATTATTGCTATTTTATTTTAATATTAATGTATTTATGGACTCAGATTGTATTTTTTATGATTTTTTTTTCTATGATATTATTGATGTATTGTTAATTAGGATATTGTAAAATAATTTTGCTATTACCTATACAAAGTGACGATGAAGTTATCACGTTAAATGAAAAGACGTATTCTATACAAAGTTCTTTAAACATACACAACTAAAAAAATATATAACAATTAACATTCTGGGCGCGGTAGCCTTTTTTTTGTTTTAATATTAAACAACATCATGTAAATGCATCAGATATCACCTGATAAATACTAGAAGTTCAAAGACCCATGGCCCGTGAAGGCCAAGAGACCTATATTGTATTATAGTGCAACGTTGCCCATTTTAAATAATCAAATAAAGTAATAAATTAAGCAAAAAATGTACTTATATGTAACAAAATAAGGCATAATTCTTATGCGCGATGCGACAAGAATTGGGACGGGGTGTTGGGAGGGTGGGATGTGGTCGATTGGCGCGTGCGACGATAAAGTAAGACAGTAAGTCACTTAGTCCGACGCCGGCGTCCTTGGGAACGGTTCATTAATCGCTTGACCTAATTTTAGTTTTTCGCGTACACGTCCTTTTAATTTAAAGTTTTTTTTTGTGGATATTTTCATAAGTTTCTTGATTTGTTTGTGATAGGACACGTTAATACTATAATACACGGAGATCAAATAATTGGTCCCGTGTTTATCGAAGGCAACCTTAATGGGCCTAAATTTTTGGAACTGCTTGACGACACAGTGGCGGATTACGTTGATGGACTATCGTTGGGGGCCAATAGCCGGTTATGGTACCAGCTTGATGGAGCACCTGCTCATTCAGTGGTGGCTGCCAGGCAGCGCCTCACTGAGATGTTCGGAGAGAACTGGATTGGCAGATACGGACCTTCTCGGTGGCCAGCACGGTCTCCGGATCTAACACCGTTAGATTTCTTTTTATGGGGTTACATAAAAAATGAGATGTACTCTACTGAAGTAACGACTGTCGAGGACTTAAAAATAAGAATAATGCGGGCTTTCGACAAAATAAAAAATTTTGCAGCCAATGGTGCCCTCTTTCGAAAAGTCCGAAATAATATCATGCGACGATGTCAATTATGCATTCGGGTACACGGCGGACATTTTGAAAATTTAAAAATTTGATTTGTTTCATAAACTTGAGTGATTTCAAGGTTAAAGTGATTATTTGGATAAAAAATACCATGAAATTTGTGATTTGTTGATAACATCGGATTAGCATCGCCCTACGCGTGCCTAATTACCTATGTATGGGCAAGTTCTAGGACCTAGGTATTATAATATAATTACCTATATCGATGTCGCATGAGCAATGAACCGCTGGCCGCGACGTTGCCGCTTCTACAAGTCATTTCAGGTCAGTTAAGTAATATTATCAAGGATGATTTATTTTATGTGATTTTTTACCCTATTTATTTTGTTTGAAATATTGAAAGAAGGTATAAATATAAACGGAGAGTACCTATCAAACCTTCGTTTTGCGGACGATATTGTAATCATCTCTGAAAGTCAAGAACAGTTACAAAAAATGATTTATGATCTAAATGCCGAAAGTTCTAAATGTGGCTTGATAATTAATCTAGATAAAACAAAAATCATGACTAATGGGGAAAAAATACCAGTCCTTCTAGAAAACAAAACCATCGAATATGTGGATGAATATATATATTTAGGTCAAAATATCTGTTTCGTGAACAGGACAACAAAAGAAGTAGAAAGAAGAATAGCATTGGCATGGAAAAAGTACTGGTCCTTAAAAGAAATATTCAAAGGAAACTTCCCATTACAAATAAAAAAGAAAATTATGGACTCAAACGTTCTACCAACTCTTACTTACGGATGTCAAACTTGGGTCTGCAATGCAGAAATAAAAAGAAAAATAAGATCATTTCAAAGAGCTACAGAAAGAAGTATGTTAAAAATCAAACTACAAGATCGAATCAATAGCAGCAAAATTAGAAGGAGAACAAAAATTACAGATGCCCTAACGACAATAGCGAGGCTTAAATGGAAATGGGCGGGACATGTCATAAGATCCAGTGACGGTAGGTGGAGCGAGCGCATCCTACATTGGTTCCCTCGTGATGGTAAGAGAGACCGTGGTCGACCTCTTAGAAGATGGAAGGATGATATAGAGGCAGTAGCGGGAAACCTGTGGACACGTACTGCAAAAGAAAGAGACAAATGGCACGAGATGGAGGAGGCCTTCATCCAACAATGGATGATCCCTGAATAGAAGATGGTAACCACATATTGAACCAACACGCAAATACTAGCATATTCACACAAAACACACACATACACGCGCAAACACACACGCGCATACACACACACACACACACACACACAGTTAAATTTGTTAAAAGTGGGAATAAAGGCTTTTTTATTTTTTTATTTTATTTATTTTATTTAAGTAATATTATCAAGGATGATTTATTTTATGTGATTTTTTACCCTATTTATTTTGTTTGAAAGATGCATTTTTTATTAGTTTTTATTATTGTTTATTTTATTATTTTAACAGACATATATCAACTCGTATTAACTGTTGTGCTATTTAACGTGATAACCTGGGCGCCACCCAGTATAATGACGAGCTTAGAGTAATTACACATAGAGTGACAGTGACATTCAAAATTCCGTTCAAAGTTGAAGCTACAACGCAATGAATGTGTGCATAAGCGGCCTGTAATTACGTTTGCCCATACCCACATAAGCAACTCAGTAATGTTTGCAAGTTAATGACATTTAACCCAAAAAGTGGGGAAAATGTAATAGTAGACATCGTCATAGAATTAATATTTAGGTTGCGTTTATAATTATTTATTAACTATTTGCAAAGAGAAAAATGTAACATTATTTATTTTTGTTAACTTGTGTAATATTTAAATTATTTATATACGTAATATCTTGTGTTATATTAACAAATCTATTATGTAATTATATTATTCTATTAGAAGCGGTATATTTATATAAATATTTGTTATTTATCTTCCATAAAATGTTAATGTACTATTTGTAAATATTAATTTTTATATAATACTCATTGGCCTTATTCTATGATATTAATAGAGAAGTGGAAGAAATGGAGGAGGCAAATGCCTACGTCTATTTCTTACAGTTTTTCCAATCCAGTCCCACTTAAATTTAACAAGTGAATATTTGTCAGATAATTATTTTAGTTGTCAGATATTTTTTCATTAGTAATTCCGTACTAACTTTGGCTGTGGCCCGCGGCTTCACCCGCATATTAAAGCATATACTGATCTCAATTCTTGCCATTCTAAGAATCTACGTGATATATTTAATTTAAATCGGTTTCAACGTAAAGTTTACAACATACAAC